CATTTTATTACTGAAGCAATAGAAAAGTGGGAGCAGAGAGCTGGGCGAGGGGTGGAGACGCCCTCATTGGCTTCCCAGATGACCTGTGTCGGGCGCAGCCAGAAAGGAGCAATGCCCCCACCGCCTTCTGTCCCAACACTCTGCTCCTGGCGCTTGTTCACAGTCAGGCTTTCCCTTCAGGTTCTCACTGGGGAGGGGCTTGTACACCATCTCCGTTCTCCGCCCCCCGCCACACATGGCAGATCTCTACCATAGCTCCCAACAACATAATGTTCTTGTTAAGTGCTGTCGAGTCAGTTCTGACCCATAGCGACCCTTATAGGGTTTCTAAGGAGTGGCTGGTGAGCTTGAACTGCCGACCTCATGGTTAAAGCTGACTTTGCAGTCCAGTGCACTAGCCCACAGCGCCACACCAGGACTCCAGTAGCATGATAGTTCATGTCTTTTCAGTTACATGTTAAAAAACACATCTGCTGACTAGGTGTAGAAAAGACCATTTCAAAAGTCATCTATCTGGTCACTGAATCAAGCTGAGGAGCTTCAGGTCTTTCTCTTGGTGCCCCTTTATCATCTCTACACTCCATGGAGGCCTGGCGTGGTACTGTGTGGACTGTGAACCATAAGGTCGGCAGTTCAAACCCACCAACCGCTCCTCAGAGACCCTATACAGGGTTGCTATGAGTTGGAACTGACTCAATGGCACTTCACAACAACAAGTACGCTGTATCTTTAGCCCCACTAGTTAGGTGTGGTGGTGGTTATATGCTGTGGAGTCGGTTCCGACTCAGAACCACCCTGTATAGTGTTTCCGAGGCTGTAAATGTTTACAGGAGTAGAAAGCCTCAACTTTCTCCCGTGGAACCACTTGTAGTTTTGAAATGCTGACCATGATATTAGCAGCCCAACTCATAACCACTCCATTCGCTACCAGAGCTCCTTACTAGGTATTTAAGTTGGTTTGATCCAAGAGGTCTGAACACTTGGTCAAGGGCATGCTACTAGAAAGTACAGGAGCTGAGGGTAGATAGGGACGGGCAACTTAGACATTGGCTACCTAAAATGAGGCACAAAGGGACTGGCTTACAAGGTTTCAAGGGGGAGTTTAGTTTAAGAGCATGTGGGGAAGAAGGAGTCCCCACTGAATCATTTTCATCTTGTCTAGATGGGTCTGGTGAAAAGAGATGGGGATAAGATTCTTACGATTCAATAGTGAGTAAATGTTATCATGACTGATTGCCATTGTCATAATTGTAAAGGTAGAAGTTTTGTAACAAAAACGGGGGAGTAGTTAATCTTACAGTCCAGAAACAGAGGACCCTAGGACCATCAAGGGAGAAGAGCACAAGCGGAATGCGGGACCTTATCCAGAGAAGCAGCGACACCAGAGATGGAGGCAGAGATGGGGACAGGGAGAGAGGGAGCAGCTGAAGACTCTAGACTTATGGGAAGGGAGAGACTTAGAGCTGGCAGCCAAGAGACAGACTTGCAGAATGTGCCCTTTGGTGGTGTCAATTATTATATATGCCTGAGTGTTTAAAAATAAATAAATAAGCTAAAGTGAATAGAGAGAAATACTTTTAACTGATGGTACATGGAGGGGATTGTAATCATTGTAATGAAAGAAGGTGTAAGATTTGTTAAATACAATACTGATGATTTGCCCTGTAAACCTTTACTCAATTCACAATAAAAACTTTTAAAAAACAATTAAAATAAAAAGAAAGGACTGGAGCTGTTAATGTGCTTAAGAGCAAAGATGCCGCTTTGAGGACTAAGGTGCACCTGACCCAAGCCCTGGTACCTTCAGTTGCCTCATATGTGTGGACAGCAGGACAGTGAGTAAGGAAGATCACGGAAGAAGCAGTTGAGTTATGCTTGTTGGAGAAGAATATTGAAAGTTCCACGGACTGCCACGGAAGAACAAACAAATCTGTCTTGGAAGAAGTGCCAGAACACTCCTCGAAAGTGAGGTTGATGGGCCATTTTCAGTTGTTGAAATTTTTAAGATTATGTTAATGATCAGAGAGTGCGAGTGTCTCATTAAAGATGATTTTCCCCCTTGTGATGGGCCGCACATGCCATCACTGAAACCTTCGAGTCTCTGCAAGCACCCGAGCCAGCTTGTGCTACTCGGCCATCGTGGCTCACTTGGGTGCTGAGATGAACTGTGCGCCAGCCTTGCCCTGCTCCAGGGTGGCGAGCATGCCCTGGCGGCCTGAGGGGCTCATCCTCGGCCCCACCAAGGGCGGTTTTGTTGCCGGTATGGCTTCTGAGTAACTGGGCTCTTGTTTCTCTCCTCATAGAGACTTGAAACCTGAGAACATTCTCCTGGATGACCGTGGTACGTGGAGAGCAGAGCCTCCGCCAGAGGGACGTGGACGTGGACAGCGAGTGTGGCCTCAGCCAGTTAATGCAAAGCGGCACCCACTGCCGTCCGTCCAGACAACGGCCTCCCTCAGCCACCCCATAGCCCAAAGTAGAACTGCCCCAGAGGGTTGCCAGGGCGGCCAGTCATTACGGGGATGGGGACACGCTGCCACCACGTTCTACCATGGAGCAGCTGGTGGGCTTGAACCGCTGGCCTTGTGGTTAACAGCCAAGTGCTTTAACCAGTGCACCACCTAGACGGAACCATCCAAAGCTACAGATGCTTCAGTGGATGTTGTTTAGAAAACCGAGCCTTCGAGAGCATGACAGCAAGCAGTAGGGATAGCCCTGGTGGTTGATGACAAGGGAGTTGGGGGACATTAAGCTCAAAGTCATTACATTTTGCTCTTTTCCGTTTTCTGCTGCTAGCTCAGGGGTCCTGGTGGTACACTGGGTTAAGCACTGGGCTGCGAACCACAAAGTCTGGCGGTACAGACCCATCAACCACGCTGCGGGGTTTCCATAAAGACTTGTTTTTGTTAAGTGCCTTCAAGTCAGTTCTGACTCATGCAGACCCCATATAGGGTGTCCAGAGAGTGGCTGGTGGATTTGAACTGCCAACCTTGGGCTTAGCAGTCTGGTGCTTACCCTACAGCGCCACACCAGAACTCCACTAACACATTTAGCACTGATTATATAGCGAGATGAGAGTCCTGGTGTAGTGCTGTGGGTTAATGAACTGGACTGCAAGGTTACTGGTTCAAGCTCAACCAGCCACTCCTTAGACACCCTATACAGGGTTGCTATGAGTCGGAAGCGACTCAGTGACACTTAACAACAACAACATATAGCCAGATGTGTCAGTCCCTCCATCAACCTTGTGGGGCAGCACACAGACACTGACTTGGATGCGGTTTTGAAAACATCTCTGGGTGGGGCAACTAGGGAGAAGTCAACCGTCTGTCCAGCTGCGCAGATTGCGGTGAGCGTCGGTATACCCTGCTCCCTGAACACGTACGGCCTGGCAAGCACTCCGCTGTGATTCTTCTCTGTCCTGGATAGGGTTGCTATGATTTGGAACTGACTCCCCAGCAGTCGGTTGGTTTGGGGGTTTGGTTTTCTCAGTTAAGCAAGAACACCTTGCTGTGTTTACGCTCCCCTTTCTTGGCTGCCATCTGCCACCTGCAAATCCCATCTCGGGAGGACGCCAGGGTGAGTGGAGGGCGTGTCTCAAGCCTCCCATGATTCCCTCTCAGGAAGCATAATTCCGTGCCTCCTGTGGAGCCTGGGCAACAATTGTGTTTTGATTTTATTTATTTTAACTTTTTCTTGTGCCGCAATGTACTTGTCATGGCTTATGGTGGGAGGGCTAGTTTCATGGCAACTGCTCCTTGCTAGAAGTGAAGTCCTAGACCCTCTTGATTTTAGCACATTTGCATTGAAGACCAATTTTTCCCGATATCATTGCTTTTTGTGTGTGCTTTGCTATTCATGAACTGGGGGCCAGCAGTTCTGGAAGTCAGATGAATTCTGAAGAGGGTAGAGTCAAAGGGTTTTTCGGGGCACAGGCAGGAACAAAGCTAAACTGGGCACAATCCGGATTGGCAGGCAGCATCAAGGGGAAATTTCGAACTCATTGAGACTGAGCAGGTAAATCCTAAGTGGCTAGTTTAAGTTTCCACTTCTGGGAGAGACGATTGACAGAGTTTACAACTCTGGGGAAGGGAAAGCTCGATTTCATTTACAGGAAATAGAACCGAAGTATTTTTCAGTTTGCTGGCATGGGCTTAGCATCAGTGACTCTGTCTTGAGCCTCGTCTAGTCAGGTTAATGAGATTGTGATGGGGCTGCTTGTGTACATCCTTCCTGGTTTACCTTCTAGAAAAGTAGCACTCTGGGTGGGTGGGGGGGCGCATTAGGTTACAAAGTGGATCATCCGTCTGCTCTGCCTTGTGAAGTGCATTTTATGTCTTGTGTAGTAGCGTTGTTGTTGTTGTTAAGTGCCGTCGAGTTGGTTCCGACCCATAGCGACCCTGTACAGGGTTTCCGAGGGTGTAAATCCTTACAGGAGTAGAAAGCCTTATCTTTCTCCCGCGGAGCGGCTGGTAGTTTCGAACTGCTGACCTTTAGGTTCGCAGCCTGATTCGTAACCACTACGCTACCAGAGCTCCTTAGTCCTTAGTATTCTTTAATTTCACTTTAGGGTTAGTAGTAGCGTAGTGGTTACAAATTGGGCTGTAAACCGCAAGGTCAGCAATTTGAAACTGCCAGCTGTTCCGCGGGAGAATGATGAGGCTTTCTGCTCCCGTAAAGATTTACAGCCTCGGAAACCCTGTACAGGGTCGCTATGAGTCAGAACCGACTCCATGGCACATAACAATAACAACAACATGTCTTCAGTAAAACACATTATGTGTACAATTCAATTGTGTCTCTTTTCCCCTGAACCTTATTGCTGTTTGTTCTTTAGAGGAAGAAAACCCCTGTTGTGTGTCAGTTGCTGCCCTTGTGGGTCATCCTGCACTCAGGCAGTGTGATGCTTGTCCTCTGGGAGCGGGTGTAGTAGGCATGGTCATTTCACTGTGTGCCTGTAGCTCTGTGAAGTAGAGTAAAGGCACAGGGCTTCTGGCTTCTCCAGTGCTGATCTGTGGTCGACGCCCTTCTTGGTCAATAAAAAATCAAACCCACAATTCCAAGAACGACCCTGGAAGGCAGAATACATGTGCTCCCTACGGTCCCCTAGGCTGTGAATCTTTATGGAAGCAGACTGCTTTGTCTTCTGTGAGGTGACTGGTGGGTTCGACTGCCAGTCTTTCTGTTCAAAGCCCAATGCTTAACCCACCGTGCCACCAGAGCTCCTGTCCTGGTCAGTTGTTGTTGTTAAGTGCCATGGAGTCATTTCTGACTCATAGTGACCCAGTATAGGGTTTCCAAGGAGCGACTGGTGAGTTTGAACCGCTGACCTTATGGTTCAAGCCGACCTGAGTCCTGTGCTTATTCTGCTGCTGAAGCCTTCTGCTAAATGTGGGAAAGTTCACTTTTACCTTCACTTTGGATGTTTCAGAGTAGGAAGCGGTCTTGTTTCCATCCACAGTTTTTAAGACGTCCCCACCTCACCCCCATTTTTTTTTTTAATTGTTAAAGTGTCACTATTTCCCTCTCTGATCGGTGTCACGTGTTTGAACACACACAGGACATATCCGGATTTCAGATCTCGGTTTAGCTGTGGAGATTCCAGAAGGGGAGACGATTCGAGGGAGAGTTGGTACTGTTGGCTACATGGGTACGTGAGCGCTCCCTTCCACACTTTTCCGACTTTTCATCAAGCTGAGTGGTCTATAGAGCCAGCAAGACGGTCACTTGCTGATGTGCCCATTAGTTCTGATCCTGCCTTGCCCCCTCCCCTCTTTAACAGAGGAGGGCGGCTCAATGGAGGCGCATCAGGACAGGGCGCAGGGTCCCCTCTGCACACCGGCACTTGGGACATTATCAAACCCGGTTGTGCCAGAGAATCCAGGCAGCAAGGCACTGATATAGTTCAGCTCCTGGACCCGGCATTGCTTGGCAGGGGGCTTGGGGCTGTCAGAAGTACCAGGAGTGGCCTCTAGCATTAGGGGCTGTGGGCTGTGTCTACTGTCTCCTGCTTTGGGGGTTTGTGTCTGGTGGAGAGTAGATGGCCAGTGCCCTGGGAGCCACGTGTTTGGAGGGGACACCTTTGTCAGGAGACAGATGTGGCCGTAGCAGCCCTTCCCCCTGGTCATTATACTCTACTATTTCATTTCCTCCTCCGAATAATCCAGACTTTATTACTTAATGAGAGCCTTGTTGAGGTGTATTTCACAGGTATATAACATACCCTTGTAAGGTGTACATCATCAAAACATTCATACAGCCAGGCCCCCATCAGCACCACCCAACTCCAGAGCAGTCTGTCACCAGTGAAATAAAACCTTGTCCCCACCAGCAGTAAGTCCCACCCCTGCCACCCCAGCCCCAAGCCCCACCCAGCCTGAGGGAAGCAAACATAGGCTTTCTGCACGTGATACACCAGCCGGGGTCTGACGGCACATGATCTAGGGAAGCACACATCCACTCTCTGTCTCTAGTCCATTCTGTACACGTCACGGCACGTGGCCTTTTGTGTCGGAGCCATCTCACTCAGCATAAAGCTCTCCAGGTACACTCATGCTGTCACAGACTCAAAATCGCTAATGTGCTGTTTGGAATTAATTGACAAGGGAATTCACAGCCATGACAGTTTCCTTTCCTGCATCTGTTACGTAGCTCCGGAAGTCATCAATCATGAAAACTATACATTCAGCCCTGACTGGTGGGGGCTTGGCTGTCTGATATATGAAATGATCGAGGGACACTCCCCGTTCCGAAAGTTCAAGGAGAAAGTGAAACGCGATGAGATCGACCGGAGAGTGAGACAGGACGCCGAGGAGTATTCCGAAAAGTTTTCAGAAGACGCCGTATCCATCTGCAGGATGGTGGGTCAGGGTCTGCCAAGGTTTGGAAATTATGCCCCCCACTCTCACGGTCATTCTCATTGGCACGCTCAGCACAGCTGTCCATCTGTCGGTTTAGCCCTGCTGTAAGAGCTCCGTGGAGCACCCTTAAATGTCACTGGGTAGGCCCAGCTCTCCCTTCCCGGCCCTGATTTCCTCCAGGTCAGGAGGAAACCGACTGACTGGGTGTTCTGTTCCGATAGAGCAGAGCTGAGTCAGACTCATTGCTTTCCTTCCGCCAGAGATGCTCTGGAGAGGGAAAGAGCAGTGCCGGAGTTTGCAGTCTCCTTCAGAAGACAGCTGAACCTTGCTCCCTTAGCTCATTTTATATGACGTGAAACAGGACACAGATGATTTCACGTATTTTTGGAAGAGTAGTTTTTTCTCTCTCCCCGTTTTATTTGATTTTGTTTGCTTGTTATGTCCGGGGATTATAACCAGAATGTATAGTTGTTACTTGCCTTTGCGTTGGCTCTGCCCCGTTGCAACCTCACATATCACAAGAAAACGCCGCCGGTCCTGTGCCGTCCTCGTGGTGGAAGGTGTGTGTTTGAGCCCAGAGCTATTGTGTTTGTCCATCTTGTTGAGAGTCTCCCCATGCCAGTGATCCACTCCTCTACCAGACAGGGTCTTTGTGATGACATGTCCAAAGTCAAGGTGTTGACATCTCACCGTCCTCACTTCTAAGGAGCGTCTGGTTGTGTTGCTTCCAAGACTGATTTGTTCATTCTTCTAGCCGTCCATGGTCTGTCTGTTCATTCTCCTTCTCCAACACCACATTTCAAACCCATCAGTCCTACTGTCTCCCTTATTCATTGTTCAAATCTGTCTTGGAAGAAGTACAGCCAGAATGTGCCTCACAGTTGGTTTCCTCTATACCAATAATGACAGCATTGAAAAGGACATTAGGAAAGCAATCCCATTTACAATAGCCACCCAAAGGATGAAATATCTAGAAATAAACGTAATCAGAGAAACAAAGGAGTTATATAAAGAAAACTACAAAACACTACTACAGACTGCACCTCAGTAGCAAGAATGCCGAAAACTCAGCTTTTGTACTGTGGACATGCTTGGTAACGTGGAGGGCTGGTGAAAAAGAGGAAGATGAGCCATGACATGGCTTGGCACGGTGGTTGTGACAGAGCTCAAACCTGACAGTTGTGAGGCTGGCAGAGGACCACATAGTGTTTTGTCCTGTTTTACGGGGGATCGTTATGAGTTAGAACTGGCTTGACGGCACCTAACAACCTACCATTCCGTGCTCAGTTTTTACATGCATGTGATCAGATTAAAAATGCCATGGCTCGGATCAGGCTCAAAAGTAATTATCTTTGCTGTTTAGAACTTTAAAGGGGTCTTGTGCAGCAGATTTACATAATTGTCAAGTGTAGAGATTATTCCGACTCTCAGTGACCCTGTATAGGGTTTCCAAGGAGCGGCTGGTTGCTTTGAACTGTGAACCTTGTTGTTAGCAGTCCGGTGCTTATCCTACAGCACCATACACCAGGCCTTTTGTGTGCTAGATCCTAGAAAGAGCCAGGGAAGGTGACTTGGGGTGTGCAGTGGGACTGGTGGAGGGCATGTCCAGGGAGTCACCAACTGAGACATGTAGAAGGAATTGGGCCAGTAGTTCTCCAGCCAGAGGGCAGAGTGTGCGTATGGCAGCAACACAGCACGGCAGGCCTAGGGGCCAGGAAGTGGGGGCTGGGGCATGAGGAGGGGGTCTGTGTTGTGGGAGTGAGGCCTAAGGGGTTGGGGCGGTGCAGGGAGAGTTGTGAGTGAGCCAGACCAGAACATGGCTCTGCCAGAACTGAGTGTCTGCGTGTGTGCAGCTGAGGCGCAGACTCCGTGACGGTCACCGTGGGGGAGGTGTGTGCGGATGAGGCACGAGGCGCAGACTCCTTGCTGGTCTCCATGGGAGCAGCGTGTGGAGTTTGTACCTTTCTCCCTCTACCTTTCACGCAGTTGCTCACCAAGGACCCCAACCAACGGCTCGGCTGCAGGGGCGACGGGGCAGCCGAAGTGAAACAGCATCCTGTGTTCAAGGACATTAACTTCAAGAGGCTGGAAGCCCACATGATGGAGCCCCCTTTCTGCCCTGATGTAAGTAGGGTGCTCAAGAAAAGTGGCCCACCCACAAGCCCATGTTTTCAAAGCAGATCTGGACTGGCATGGTGCCTCCACATGTAGCTGCTGATCTGTTTCTTCCCACCCTCTCCCTGTACCACTCCGCAGACCCACCGCAGACCTTCCTCCCGGGGCTGTGGGAGCCAGGGCCGTGCACCCACAGGTCTGCCTGCCTTACTGGTGGGCACCCAGCCCTGTCGCCACCTCACCCTCCGTCTGCCTTACCCGTATCTTCCTGTCTGATCTCCTTTGTCACCTCTGGGCCCTGGTGTTCCAGCCACACAGGGTGGGGATTCACAGAGCAGGCCTTACACATGCAATGAGGCCCTTGTCCCTGGGTCCTGCTCCTTGCTGCTATCTTGAATCACCTCCCCGACCCGTGTGGTACCAGATCAGGACTGGGCTAGTTCCACTGTCAAACGAGGGTGCCAACTAACTACGCTTTCCTCAGGAGCTGAGGTCTGAGGTCCAATGAAGCTGTGCTTCATGGCCACTCAGCCTAGTGCCTGGCACCAGGTAAGTGCTGGTAGACATAAGTTCTTATTGATGAGACAATACGCAAATGAAGGCATCAGTTTGGATTCTAGCCATCAGTTACAGAGTTATATAGAAATGCCAGGATCCGAGAATGACCGCAGGTGTGATGAAATGAAGAAACAGGCACACGTTGAAGGTGTTACAGGTTTGATGCTAGATCCTCACGACCAAGTGAATCACACAGCTGTTGGTTTCCCAGTGCATACAAAAGTTACGTTTCCACTAGTCTGTAGTCTCAGAAGAATCCTGGTGTGGGTTTAATGTGTCAGACTGCAGAGTCCTTTGAACTGCAAGATCGGTGGTTCAAGCTCACCAGCTGCTCCTTGGAAACCCTATACAGAGTCACTATGGGTAGGAATCTCTGGTAGCGTAGTGGTTACGAATCGGGCTGCGAACCTTAAGGTCAGCGGTTCAAAACTACCAGCCGCTCCGCGGGAGAAAGATGAGGCTTTCTACTCCTGTAAAGATTTACACCCTCGGAAACCCTGTACAGGGTCGCTATGGGTCGGACCCGACTCGATGGCACTTAACAACAACAACATGGGTAGGAATAGACTCGACAGCACTTAACAAAAACAACAACATCGTCTCTGAAGTGTGCGATAGTATTATGTTGTTGTTAAGTCCCGTGGAGTCGGTTCCGACGCATTGTGACCCGGCACAGGGTTTCTGAGACTGTAAATCTACGGAAGCAGAAAACCTCATCTTTCTTCCGTGTAACCGCTGGTAGTTTCGAACTGCTGACCTTGAGGCTGGCAGCCCGACTTGTAACCACTATGCTACCGGAGCTCCTTATAGTATTATAAGAAAGCTTAAATCTGATCATTGTGAGAATGATCAGAATGTGACCTAGACACGCAAAGTGAGCACATGCTACTGGAGAAGTGATTGTAACTGACTTGCTCGACACAGGGTTGCCACAAACCTTGATTTGTTTTTGTTTTTTAAAAAGCACATCTGCAAAGTGCACTAAAATGAGGTACATCGTTAGATGCTCTTGAGTCAGTTCAAACTCAACAACCCTGAATATGACAGAAGGGAACACTGTGTGCGGGGCCCTGCACCATGCTCACGGTTTTCGCTGGTTTTCCTCTTCTCCTTTACCAAGCATGACGTCCCTCTCCAGGGAGCTGTTCCTCCTGGGGTATACCTGTATACAATGAAAATGGTTCTCACTTCTAGGACTTTTCCTGAGTACTTTATAGTTATGTTCTTGTTGTTAGGTGCTGTTGGGTCGGTTCCGAAGCATGGTTAACTCTACACACACCGCCTGGTCCTGCACCAGTCTCATAGGTGTTGTGGTTCAGGTCTTTGTTGCTTCCCCCATCTCATTTCCATCTCATTGGAGGTCTTCTTTTTCACTGACCCTCCACTTTGCCAAGCATTATGTCCTTCCTCAGGGACTGGTCCCTTCTGACAACATGGCCAAAGTCTGAGAGACCAAGTCTGGCTGTCCGCACTTCTAAGGAGCATTCTGGGTTTACTTCTTCCAAGACAGATTTGGTCTTCTGACAGTCCATGGTACTTTCAGTATTCTTCACCAACACTAATTCAAATGCATCGAGTTTTCTGTGGTCTTCTTATTCGTTTTCCAACTTCCATATGCACATGAGGCTGTAGAAACTAACATGGTTTGTATCAGGTGCACTTTAGTCCTCAAACTGACATCTTTGCTCTTGAACATTTTAAAGAGGTCTTGTGCAGCAGATTTACCTAATGCAATATGTTGTTTGATTTCTTAACCGCTACTTCCATGAGTGTTGATGATGGATCCAAGCAAAATAAAGTCTTCCTCCAGCCCTGATGCCACATTTATCTTCATGTAACCCAGCTTCTTGGATTATCTGCTTCTCATACAGATTGAATAAGTGTGATGAAAGGATGCAATCCTTTCTGATTTAAAATAATTCATTTTCTGTTTGAACAACTGTATCTTTCTCTGTGTACACATTCCTCATGATAACAAGTGCTCTGGAATACCGATTCTTCTCAATGTTGTCCACAGTCAAATGCCATCGCATAGTCAATAAAGCATAAGTAAACATCTTTCTGGAGTCCTGGTGTGATGCTGTATGATAAGCATAAGACTGCAAGGTTAGTTTGAACTACAAGATTGGCAGTTCAGACTCACCAGCCACTCCTCAGAAACCTTATAAAGGGTTGCTATGAGTTGGAACTGTCTCAGTGGCACTTAATAACAACAACAGTAGCAAACATCTTTCTGGTAGTCTGTGCTTTTAGCCAAGATCCATCTGATGTCAGCAATGATATCCCTCCTTCCACATCCACTCCTGAATCCGGCTTGAATTTCTGGCATCTTCCTGTCAATGTACTGCTGTAACCATTTTTAAATTACCTTCAGAAAAATGTTACTTGCATGTGATAATGATGATACTGTCCAATGATTTCCGCGTTATGTTGGGTCACCTTTCTTTTGCACGGGCACAAATATGGGTCACTTTAAATCAGTTGGCTTGATGGTGGCTGTCTCTCAAATTTCTTGGCGTGGACAAGTGAGTGCTTCCAGTAATGCATCAGTTTGTTGGTACGTTTCAGTTTGTTGATACATTTCAGTTTGTTGATACATTTCAGTTTGTTGATACGTTTCATTTTGTATGTGTTAATTTCTAGAGCCTTGTTTTTCACCAGTGTCTTCAGTGCACCTTGGACTTCTCTTCTTCGTTACCATCTGTTCTTGATCATAGACTACCTCTTGAAATGATTGAACTTTGATGGATACTTTTTGGTACCCTGACTTTGCTTATTCCCCCCATCTTCATAGATGCTTCCTGAGCCACTCAGTATTTTGCCCACAGAATCCTTCAATATTTCAAGTCAAGGTTTCAATGTTTTCTTCAGTAATTTCAGCTTTAGAAATAGTGAGTGTATTCTTCTCTTTCGGTTTTCTAACTCCAGGTCTTTGCACATATCGTTGTAATATTTGACTGTGTCTTCTCCAGCTGCCCTTCGAAACTTTCTGTTCAGTTCCTTTACCTCTTCATTTCGTCTATTCACTTTAGCATCTCTACACTGGAGAGCAAGTTTCAGTGTCTTCTGACATCCATTTTGGTCCTTTCTTTCCTGTCTTCTTAATGACCTTTTGCGTTCTTCATGCATGACGCTCTTAATGCCATCCCACAACTCTTGTGGTCTTTGGTCATTAGCGTCTAATTCATCAAATCTTTTCTTGTGACGATCTCTAAATTCAGGCGGGATATGAATCTTCAAGGTCATATTTTGGCTCTTGCGGACTTGTTTTAATTTTTTTCAGCTTCATCTTTTGCTTGCATATGAGCTATTGACGGTCTGTTCCACATTCTGCTCCTGGTCTTGTTTTCACTGATTATATTGATTTTCTACAGGCTAATTATATTATATTTTCCACCATCTCTTCCCACAAATGTAGCCAGTTTCATACCTGTGTGTTCCATCCGGTGAGGTCCATGTGTATAGTGGCTGTTTGTGTTGTTAAAGTATTTGTAACAAGTAAGTCGTTGGTCTTGCAAAATTCTGTGATGCGATCTCCAGCATCATTTATGTCTCCAAGGCCATATTTTCAAATTACTGATCCTTCCTCTTTGTTTCCAACCTTTGCATCCCAATCACTAGTAATGATCAATACATCTCGATTGCATGTTTGATCAATTTCAGACTGAAGAAATTGGTAGAATTGTTCAATTTTATTATAGTTGGTTTTAGTGGTTGGTGTGTAAATTTGAATAATAATGGTATCAACTGGTCCTCCTTGTAGGCGGATGAGTGTTATTCTGTCACAGACAGAATTGTACTTCAAGATTGTTGTTGTTGTTGTTGTTATGTGCCATGGAGTTGGTTCCAACTCATAGTGACCCTGCACAGGGTTTCCGAGGCTGTAAATCTTGACAGGAGCAGAAAGCCTCATCTTTCTCCTGTGGAACAGCTGGTAGTTTCGAACTGCTGACCTTGCGTTTCACAGCCTGATTCTTAACCAGTACGCTACCAGAGTGCTTTGTACTTCAAGATAGATCTTGAAATGTTGTTTTTCCCAGCATAGTAAACCATGATTGTCAGATTCAAAAGGCGAATATACCAGTCCATTAGCTCACAAATGCTTAGGATGTTGATATTTATGTATTCCATTTCATTTTTGAGTACTTCCCATTTTCCTAGATTCATGCATTCCATGTTCCAACTATTAGTGGATGCTTGCAGCTGTTTCTCCTCATTTTGAGTCGTGCCCCATCAGCAAATGAAGGTGCTGAAATCTTTGCTCCACTTTCATCATTAAGGCCAGCTCTACTTTGAGAAGACGACTCTTCCCTAGTCCTGTTTGGAGTGCCTTCCACTCTGAAGGGCTCAGTTTTTGGCACCTCCCTTCATAAGGTTTTCATTGGCTAACTATTCCAAAATGGTCTTCCTTCCCATTCTGTCTTAATCTGAAAACTCCATTAAAACCTGTCCACTAAGGGTGACCCTTGTTGTTGTTGTTACGTGCTGTGGAGTCGGTTCCGACTCATAGTGACCCTGTACAGGGTTTCCAAGGCTGTAAATCTTTTCAGGAGCAGAAAGCCTCATTGTTTTCTCATGGAATAGCTGGTAGTTTTGAACTGCTGACCTTGCGGTTCGCAGCCCGATTCGTAAGCACTATGCTACCAGAGCTCTTTAAGGGTGACCCTACAGGTACTTAAAATACCAGTGGCCTAGCTTCTGTCATCACAGCAACACACAAGTCACCACAGGACGGCAAACTGACAGGACAATAGTGGTTTAGCGGCATAGTGTATGCCATAGTGTTAGCTATTCATTTGGATTCATTCATTTATCCCCTATGATGCCTGCTAGCTGCCAGATGCAGTTCCAGCTTTTAGGGCCACATCTCCCCTGGAGCTCAATGTCCAGCAGGGAGGCTATTAAACTAGCCAGTGGACAAGATAGGGACTGGAGCACCATGAGATGGGGAGCGGCTTGCCACGGCAGGGGCTTGGATGGTGCCAGTGTGGCCCATTGATTTGACAAAGTAAACTGGGGAGTGGTTACTGGTGACTGAGTAATTACCCTTTTGAGGAATGTGAGGTATGTGGGGCTCCCTGGGGGTCTGAGCCTTCAGCCCAGGGCGGTCTCCAGTCACCATGCTTTCAAGAGACTGAGTTTCTTGTGACTTCTGAGCTCCGTTTCCCTTCTGCCACACCTGGCATTGATGCTGCTGGTCAGTGAGTAGGTGAGTGGTTTCTCATGAATAACAGCTGCACCGAGGGACTTTCAGACTGGCAGCCTGTGGACATTGCTGCTTCTGTGGTGCCACAGACTGTAGTGACATCCTGGTTCTGACGTCACCTAGACTGTCCCCGGGTGTGTATACAGGGGGCTGCTGTGGACTGCCTAGACACTGGCCATACCACCCTCCTTCGCTCCTTGCCTCATTCAGGAAGAAATGGTGACCCTCAGATGTATGTGTGTATGTGAGAGAGAGAGAGCCGGGGTGTCCATGTGATTCCTAACTGAGGAGAAAGTGTGGCCCTCAGGTGTGTGAGAGAGAGCCGGGGAGCTTATCTGTGCCGGTTCTCGGCACCCTTTGCTCTAACCGAGGACACATGACTTATGGTGTGTAACTCTGCCCTGTGTCCAGCCACATGCCGTGTACTGCAAGGACGTCTTAGATATCGAGCACTTCTCCACGGTGAAGGGGGTCCACCTGGACACCAGTGATGAAGCTTTCTACGCCATGTTTGTCACGGGCTGTGTCTCCATCCCCTGGCAGAACGAGGTACTGCCCTTGTGAGCCTGCCAGCGCCATGCTCAAGACCACGTCCCCAAAAGTGAGGCGTTCATTTCTGTAGGCCTAGATCTGTTCACCTGGTGATGCAGTGACTTGTGCGCTGAGCCGCTATCTGCAAGGTCGGCAGTTCAGATCCACTAGCCACTCACTCCTGGGGAGAAAGATGAGGCGGTCTGTCCCCATACAGATTTATAGTCTCAGAAACCCTATGGAGTCGTTCTAGCCTGCTCTGTAGGGGACGCTATGAGTTGGAATCAGCCCACTGGCGGTGGGTGGGTGGAGGGTGTATCTCTCGGGAGATAAAATTATGAGCAATCTATGACCACAAGACTAGACCCTAGGCCAGCTGCAAGCATAGACCTTGCCTCTAGTCCTGAGTACAGGAAGTTGTCAAAAGTGCCGTCTGAGGTCCAATGGCGCTGAATAGCCATGGCCTCAGTAGTTCATTGAATTCAGAGATCAAGGAGGGGCCACCCTAGTTACCCCAAGAAGTCAGAAGAGAGGGGCCCAGGAAGGGGATCCGGTGCCCTTGGCATGCCCAGTGCTGAGCAAGGTTGCCGGGGGGCGGGGGGCTGAGGGCTCTGACTCATGCACCCGCCTCACCACACCTCCCTCCTCATCCCCTTGTCCTTGTCCACCGGTCCGTGTGCGCAGATCATCGAGTCGGAGTGCTTCAAGGACCTCAGTGAAGATGAGGCTGAGGAGGAGTTGACACTTGACCTAGAGGAGAAAGTCAGTCACCCCGCCCACATACCAAAGAGGGGCTTCTTCGACAGGCTCTTCAGTAGAGGGGTAAGCAGCTCCTCGTGGCTGGGTGTGTTTTGTTGTTGTTGAAGCCCACACAGAGGAACATATTCCAGTTCAGTTCCTTCTCCATGTACCGCGTAGGGAGGGACACAGCCATTCTCGTCCTCTTCCGAGTCGTTCCTCCCCCATGAACATAAACTCACTGTCCCTAAGCTTCCCATCTCACCTTTTGACTTGCTCTTGTTAATTTTATCCCTTATACAGACTTCTTAAAAGACCATAATGCTCAAAGCCTTTCTTACTGGTTAAGCTAAAGTCTGATTTAGTTTTAAGATGACTTCAGGAGCTATTTTTGGTTTAAGGGTTCAAAACCATCTCGGCATAGTAGTTTCAGAGGCTTATCCAATCTTCACAGCTCCAGGAAGTCTGGAGTCTGTGAGAATTTGAAATTCTGTTCTGCAGCGTCCCCTGTTTGATCAGACTCATGAAAACGTTCAGTAGCAGTAGCTAGACACCATCCAGTTCTGGTCTCGGAGGCAGTTACCACACATTCCACCTCCTCCTATTCCTGACTCCATGTTCCTGGGGTGTTCCAAGTGAATACAGACTAGTAGTTGTGCCTTAGATGGCCGCCCCCAGGCTTTTAAGCACTACACCACAAACTAGGAGGTAGAAGAGAGCATTGACCCTGCCATTCGGCTAATTCTGCTAGTCCAGTGAAACCACGCCCTAAACCTGTGATCAGAGACATGGAATCCCCTAACCCTGTGGCGTCTGGCTGACGTAGGCGGTCTCAGCAGAGACTCTTGCTGTTGGTGTCCTGTATATATCTATGACACAACCTTTGCCAATTCAACTTTTTACAGGTGTGCAATTTCCTGAGATTTCGTAGATGTAATATGTTAAAAGAAAAAACTTAGATTTTTCAATGCCTCTTCTGTAAGACATTTCCCGTAGCTTAAGAGCCAGACGATGCGATTCTGAGCCAACACAGAGGTGTTTGTTGTGGGCAGTAAGGCCCTGTTCTGTTTCCACAAGCACTTAGGGTTTCCCAACACAGATCCCGTGTGTGTCGGTGAGTTCGCATCCTAGGCTGAGGTCAGAAGCCAGTATGCTCTCAGAACAGCTATAAACCCAAACGCCTCTCTTCAGTCTTTCTGTTACATGTGATGGTTCCCTCATTGACCCAGAGACTTGACATCCAGCCTGCAGAGGCTTTCTTTAATGCAGGGAGCCCTTGTGGCTGCTAACCAAAAGGTCATCACTACCCAGCACTCCTCGGGAGAAAGGTGAGGCTGGGTGTTCCCGTGAAGACTGGCAGCCTCCGAGACCTCCTCTGTCTGTTTGTGTCTCCAGGACTTGGAATCGACTTGACGGCAGTGTGCTTCTTGGTTTTTGCGTTAGGAGCAGTTGGTTTGTAGGTGATTTTTCCAAGTACATTTTGTCTCCTTGGACTAGTGGGATCATCCTGATTTCTGCCCTGTCTGCCCCTGAGGAATCGATCATGAGTGGTCATATTCGGATCCATTGTCTTTCTGTGTAAAAAGCTAGCGTGAGATGGTAAGGTAGCCAGCAGCAGGAAGTACGATGACCATCTGTCCTCTGCAACTAGGGCTGTGTGAGCAGCCTGCCTCTCAAAGCGTAGTGTCCAGCTAGGGGCAGTCTCCTCACGTGCCCATGTCCACGCTGTCGGGGGAGCCCTTCCAGAGGATCCACAGTGGATCGAATGCCAACTGCACAGAATGAAGCTGGTAGCATAGTGGTTACGAATTGGGCTGCCAACCTCAAGGTCAGCGTTCGAAACTACCAGCTGTTCTGCGGGAGAAAGATGAGACTTTCTGCTCCTGTAAAGATTTACAGCCTCGGAAACCTCGTACAGGGTTGCTATGAGTCGGAACCAACTCCACAGCACACCACCACCACACACCACCACCTGGCTTAAAGTTAGCATCCTCCCTGACTTGGCTCTCTAGTGCTGCCGTGACCCAAGCACCACAGGTGGATGGCGTTAGCAAACGGAAATGTATTCGCTCATGGTTGGTTGTTAGGTGCCATCGAGTCGGTTCAGACTCATAGTGACTCTGTGCACACAACAGAACGAAACACTGCCCAGTCCTGTGCTAGCCTCACACTTGGTACATTTGAGTCCATTGTTCTAGCCACTGTGTCAGTCCATCTCAGTTGGGGCCGTCCACTTTTTCTTGGACTCTCCACTTCACCAAGCATGAGGCTCTTGTCCAGAGACTGGTCCCTCCTGATCATGTGTCTGAAGTATGAGAGAGGAAATCTGGCCATCCTGGCTTCTAAGGAGCATTCTGGCTGTACTTCTTCCAATACAGATTGATTTGTTCTTCTGGCAGCCCATGGCACTTTCAATATTTGTCACTGCCATAATTCAAATGCTTCATTTTTCCTATCCAGCAAATTAGGTCCTGGTGTTGTAGGATAAGCACTGAAATGCTAACCAAAAGGTCGGCAGTTCAAACGTAGCAGTTGTTTCTCAGAAAACTTATACTGTGAGTCAGAACCGATTCGAAGGCACTTAGTCACAACAATTCTTCTAAGGTCTTCTTTATTCATTGTCCATGTTCATAGTTTATGAACTGCAAGTCCAAATGCAGAGTCCTTGTTTCAGTGGAAGGCTTTCTGTGGGCTCTGGAGAAAAACACCTTTGTCTCCTTTCAGCACCTGTGGGTGCAGCGTTCCCTGGAGATCCCCATGTGTCTTGGTGTTAGTCTTCCCCTGGAGCTAGAAGGTTCACAGGGCTAGGACCCTGGTCCAAAGGACACGCTCCAGTCTCCGTGCTTCCTTCTCTCTCTCTCTGCTCACTTCTCTCTCCTTTTATTTTGGTAAAATGTGTTGCAGACCACACCCCAGGGAAACAGGGGTGTGACGGGGTTGTGGAATTGGTTTATCACATCAGAGCACATCCTAGAACATCATCACATAACCTCAGAGTACTGACCCAGCCAAGTAGACACATCTTTAGGGGGAACACAGTTCAATCTGTGTTCTCAGCATTTTCTAACAGCATGTGCATCTCCAGGGGCTCATCCAGTTTACCTCAGCCTTGTGACGTGGGCCTCCGTTCTGCCCTGTGTTGCAGGGATGCCTCCACCCCAACCCCAGCGAGAAGGAAGAGGCGCCCAGGAGACTCTGAGCCCTTCCCCGTGAGGACCCTGCAGGGTCCGGAGTGCACGCTGGCCATGAGCTGAGATAAACGCGTACGTAATAAAAGCCTGCCTGGGCTTACTGAGTCTCCTCTTCACACCGGAGCTATCTGTCCACCAGCTGCTGTTCTTACTAATTCTGTCGAGGTGGTTCCGACTCACAGCGACTCTGTATAGGGTTTCCAAGGAGCAGCTGGTGAGTTTGTGGTTCAAACCCACCTGTAGTCCAGTGCTTGTCCTACTGTGCCACCCCAGGACTCCACTGTCCACTAGAGCTGTGTTGAAAAGAGCCAGAAGCTCCCAGATATGGGTGTTGCGCTGGACTCGACCTCCAGGTGTGCCCATGCGGAGGGAGGTGGGCTTGGTGCACAGCATCTCCCAAGGGTGGTTTGGCAGCCCAGCAGTGTCTAGGGCGGGTGGCACTGGCCCAGCCAGCTCCCCCTTTTCCTCAGGGCCCTGGGGGGTTGCAAGTCTTTGCTCATTTACTTTCACATGTAAAAGTGTCCCCAGAGATCGGCATGGCACCCATCCCTCCTTCTCATCAAGACCTCCCCTATGTCCTGTGGCCACTTTCAAACTTTCCTTCACACAGACCTACCTGTGCCCTGAAAGAGGGCAACTTGACAGAACCCCCAGGTCTCACCCCAAACCTTCAGACACCATGTAACATAACAGTGGGCACACACAAGATAGCTCCCAACCCTCCTTACACTGAGGAGACGGAGAATGAATGGCACACGCCTCAAACTTCTTTTAAACCTGCCCTGGAGCGGGGAGGCAGAGGGCTGACTGGTGGAGGCTTGTAGTGGTCACACAGTGGCATGTAACAGCCCCTGGGTGCCTCCGCACAGAGGGTCCAGGCCAGGTGAGGCACACCTGGCAGTCAGGGAAAGAACAACTGGGGAACTCGAAGGCTCAGGCATGTGGCACTTTTGAGGGAAACTGAGGCAGCTGGGATGAGAAGCGGCTGATGGTGAGGGTCCCCTGAGACAAGACGGCAGTATAGAATCAGAAGATGCACCAACCCCCTCTGCCCCCACCCCCAAGAGATCATTCATAACAGAACGGAGCATAAAATCTCTGTTGCTGGCCCTGGAAATTCCTGCCCGCACTGCTTTACCGTGAACAGAAAAAGACGCCAGACATGACTGCAAAGCTGTATAAAAAGAAACAAAGTGTGCATGAAGCGCTTTAGCTGAGCTGTTACTCTGAGGGGATTGTGACCGATGTTAGGAAACAAAAATATGTATCAATTGTTGAATGGAAAAGTAACTTGCTCTCTAAACTGTCACCTGAACTATAATTAACATTCTCTTTAGAAAACTTTTCAGCTGATGGAAATGTCCCTCCCAAAACCCAGTCATGAACGAGAGGAAAACCCATCCACCCACCACTTCAGCCAGAATTAGATCACGGTAGAGCTCCTCTCTGCACACCCTAGACTCCCCTCCCACCACGCAAGGTGACATGGCCATCAGGAGCTTGTCCCCAGAATTCCCTGTCCCAGTAGACCCGAGCTCCGTCCAGGGCCTCTGATCCACTCTACACTTCCAAGGGCAGACAACCCCCATCTGTGTCCCAGAGGATGGTCAGTGGGGTGAGTATGGGAATGGGTGGGGTTCTCACAGGCAATCTGGGGGACTCCTTGTGGGTCTGTGGAGCTCTTTGCAATGCAGGGTAGAGCTGGGGGGCAGGAGGACAAGCTGCAGGCAGTGACTGGGACTGGGAGTCTTCGCACACCACCATCCCGTGATGCCTGTCTCTCAGAATCCTAAATCCCAGCCTGCTCTTTCAGATCATGATGAAGGTCTGAGGGTGTTCTAGGCTGGGTTCTCCAAAGAAGCAAAACTATTCAAACTTTTATACGAACATAAATAGAGATAGATGTTTCTGTCAAGGAAATGGCTCATAATTGTAGAGGTTGGGAGAGTCCCAAATCTGGGTCACACGAACCAACATGGGCAGGCCCTTCTGGTAGGCAGCCAAATAGGCAGGGAGACAAACAGGCGGTCCGGCAGGCAGAACTGGAGGACAAGCCACATGCAAGACCCAGACTCAGCCGAACGCAAACAAGCTTTGCCTGAATGTCCAGTGTATTGGCAGCAGGCCACACCCCTGAGGAAGCATCATTTCAATAGATTGGCTACTCATAGCCAATCATCATAGAGTTAACTACACTGTATTAGATAGATCTACTGGTAGCGTGGTGGTTACGAATCAGGCTGTGAACCTTAAGGTCAGCAGTTTGAAACTACCAGCCGCTCCGTGGGAAAAAGATGAGGCTTTCTGCTACCATAAAGATTTACAGCCTTGGAAACCCTGTACAGGGTCGCTATGGGTCGGAACCAACTCGGTGGCACTTAACAACAACAACAACATCATGGGGATTATCACATCTCAACTGTAAACCACTGGGAATCCTGGCTCAGTCAAATTGACACAAAACCTTGATAATCACAGTCCATGCCTTGGCACCTATAGACCATATACATAATCTTTAAATAATGACAATTGTAAAATCATACTTGCGCCTAACATGATATAACTAAAACAACGTACAACCAAAAATGCATTGTCCCCATTTACGTCATGTATGTCACAAATAAACAAAACAAAAATGTTTGATGCTCACATACAAACCCAAACAATATATTCCTAACAATTACTGCCCTCCTTTCTACAATGGTCACGTGACAGCAGCTGGTATTTACAACTTCCTTCTTCGGTATTCCCTTTGACCTCAACAAGCGCCTCAGCTAGTTGTGCCTCTTAGCCTATTGGGTGACCCAAATTTCATTCCGGAAGACTCTGGGCTATTACTAGCATTGGAATTGGGTTGCTGTAGTTTACCATTGATATTAATCACAGGGTATGGTAGTACTAAGAGACTTCTGAAGGCATTTCCTGGCTTCCACACATACTCTTCCTAACTTCCATTTTGTAAAGCCAAGCCAATTTCCCCTTGGTAATCAGGATTGGTCACACCACCCAAGACAGTCGCTGCATTCTCTGCCCGTTGATTCAGCTGCATGAGGACCACAACGTGGCCTGGGGTATTCTTCCCTACCACTTCAGAGCAATCAGTGCTGTGTCTTCAGGTGGGAGTCTTCCTCTTTTCAGAGTGAAAACACCCAGAACTGAAGAGCATAGGTTTGCAGGGTCAGGAAGCAAAAAGTTTTCCAGTGAGTCAGCAGGAGTACCATCCCCATCTCAACCCCTTTGTTCCTGGACCCATGGATTCTGGCAGTTGGAGAAACAGCACCATATAGTGGATGTTGTTGTAGTTAGGTGCCATCGAGTGGTAAACAACTCCTAGCGACCCTGTTTACAACAGAACGAAACACGGCCCGATCCTGGGCCAACCTCACAATTGTGGCCTCACTTGAGCCCATTGATGCTGCCACTTGGCCAATCCATCTCACTGGGGATCTTCCTCTTTTTGTCTGACCCTCCACCTTACCAAACATAATATCCTTCTCCAGAAACTAGTCCCTCCTGACAATATGTCCAAAGTATGAGAGACGAAGCTTAGCCATCCTGGCCTCCAAAGAGCACTCTGGCTGCACTTCTTCCAACACAGATCTATAGGTTCTTTTGGCAGTCCATGGCACTTTCAATATTCTCCTCCAACACCATAACTCAAAGCATCAATTACTCTACGGTCTTCCTTATTCACTGTCCAGCTTTCACATGTATACGAGGTTATTGAAAATACCATGCCTTGCGTCAGGTGCACTTAGTCCTCAAACTCACATCTTTGCTCTTCAACACTTTAAAAAAGTCTTGTGCAGGAGATTTGCCTAATGTAGTACGTCGTTTGACTTCTTGACTGCTGCTTCCATGAGTGTTGATGGTTGATCCGAGAAGAATGAAGTCCTTGACAACGTCAATCTTTTCTCC